AAGTAATTGCATATTTATGGATAATTACTAAGTACACCAGGTAATTCTTGAATTTTATGTTCATTCTAAGACGTAGTATCACTTTAACAATGAACGGACCAAGATCAAGATGCGGAGTAGACAATTCTTCACAGTTTTCGACACTTTCCGTAAAGCTGTTGCAGGGCGATAGCGTAACTTCCACGGAGGCCATTTGTCAAGCAGATTGTTTCACATACACGAGTAGTAACGTCACCAACTCTTTGACGTCAAATGCAATAATGTGTGGACAAAGCAAAGTTATATCTTCTGACATACCGGGAATTGTTAGCCATTGTACCCAGAGGGACAGGAATTATTGGATCAACTAAAAATGAAATTGTGTTTTACGTCCTGTTTTTCTACGCCTATCTGGACTAAAACAATTGAAAAGATAGACGAAAACTTCTACCACATGACAAATTATGAAGTCCCAACAAGCTTGGCATAGGAATCAGGCCATGACAGGGCGGCAAAAAGTATATCCCAGAGATGCCTTTTGCGTCTGATCTCCACAACAAACTAGGTTTGGAGATTAGGTATACATGCACACACATTATGTTACCATGCAATGGCATAAATTATGCATTTATATGTTGGAGACCAAGTTTTTAAGGTTATTGCGAAGGGACGTGCCCTTTCTATGTTTTTTAAACAGGTTTCAGCATGTTCCCCTTTAAATGTAACCTATGTCCGACTCAGAGTAGGCTACTATTTAATTTCCAAGTCTATGTCAATAATGACTTTCTTCTTTGTCAATGATTTTCATTTATCACAATAAGTGTTCGACACGGCATAAAAACTCGAGATCACAGTTCGGTTAATGACATTTTTTAATGTAATCTATTGAAGAAGGACACCAAGGCAGGTTTGTAAAAGTTTCAACGTGGCCTAGTTCTTTCAGGGTCCGTTTCTCGTACGTAGTTTACGGTTGGGATATCGGTACATTCAGGCACAGTCAATAGCTCAGTCATTCCTCACTAGTAACTAAAATCTAACCGTGTGCCGGTAAATTTTGCTGCGTCGTTTGCCTCGCGAGACAGTTCTTCAGAAGTCTATCATATTTTTGGCATGAATTGCGTATGACTCAACGTGTGCGCTTGGCGTGAGACATAGCTAAGCCAACACTTTCTCAACGGCCACACTTTCTCAACGGCCAATAGAATGCGTTTAAGATATTTGCCGCTGTTGTTCAAAGTGGCGTCCGAAGCAGTCAACTTTGCCGAAGATAAAATAGATAAAAACTTTGGTCAGACTTTCAGTATTTATATGCTGTAGAGTATAAAAATCGGGACAAGCGACAGCAAGCTCTCGAATATAATAGTTTAACATTATCTTCCGCTTCGTTACTGTCCACCATTTTGAAGTGCATGCAGTCACATTTCGAGTCACGTGTCCTATTCTGTTTTTCAACAGCTGAGCCAAAGTTGCACCGTCTGCGGTGAAACCATATGGCTGTTGACTAACGTGTGCGCCGGACTTTGTGGAAGTGGCTCCGACCAACTTTTGGTTTGTAGTTAATGTAGTTTGGTATTTATACAAAGTTGAACCATTAATGAGGCATTTCCGGAGATTCTACAATTTTCCTGTTTCCCACACGGTACCAAATTACAGACGAGGGGTAGACTTAACCAAGACCACTTTTATGCCGAGGTTGAACTTTGGACCTAAACACTATGGAGCAAACGTCTAATCTAACTTTTACGATTTTACTTTACCAATTTCAGTGAGCTATGGATGAGAACAACCAACCACAAAGCAGTGCGTTACTAAATGGAGAACAGCAAACCACTGTGTATACGAGCGATCCAACAACAAATCAAAGTAATGCGTTCTTCCAAAAGCTAAAGAATGGTGCATACAGAAGAAATTTCTTTCACAGTCTGGCCTTATGTTTTGCCTTCTGTGCATTTGTAAGTTGTCTTTAGTTTCAATTCCATTTTTTTTTCTGTATCATAGTTATTAAAAGTTGCGACCGCTTTCGTGCAATATTTTTTCATTGAATTTAATATTGTGTTATTTCAAGGTGTTAAACCCTCTATACCCCTGTCACCTACCATTTCTATGGCTGCCAATATGAATATCTCCTTTGGAACCGTCCATAATTCCTTCCAAATGCGGGGATAGACGGGGTGCGGTGTCCGGTATAGTGTGCGGTGTGGGATTGTCGATACAGTATAAAAAAGAAGAAGCAAATCGTGCCCGGACCAGTACCCCGTGTGCTCACTTCTATTTAACCTCACTGCATATCGCACCATAACATCATACATCGTCTATCCGTGGGGTTGAGGCTTGTCTGTTTGTGGATTGTCGTCTGCTGAGATTCACGATTGGGTGCCGTGCGTTCGAATCCTTCTCTAGGTAAGGAACATTATGTATGAGAGCCGATTAGAATGCGATTTTCAACCTCTATCAACTATTAAAAGTATAATCTTTCCATGTAACTTCTCATCTTTCAGGGATTTCAAATTGGTCAACGTGGACCAGCATTTCTAGATCTCCAACAGATCACTAATACAGACATGAAAAAAGCATCTACGTTTTTCACAGCAATATCTGTTGGTAATTTGTGTGGTTCCTTGTTCATCGGTTTCATCAATAATCGAGTGAATAAAGTTCTTCTGTTATTTGTATCTACATTGCTTTTATCTGTTACGGTGTCTGTTATACCTTTATGTTCAGAATATGTCGCCATGTTGGCTATTTTATGGACAAATGCTTTTTTTATGGGATGGCTGAACGCAGGTAACTCAATCAAAATGTATTTGTATGACTTTCATTTTCATTCATTCGTTAGATTTATGGCCAAGGGAGTTATTGCCCTTGACGCGCCAAATTAGCTGCTTATTAATCCAATCGAGAATGTCAGTCTTTTCATTGCCTATAACGGTTCTAAAATATAGCTGTGTTATACTTTGAGCAACAGCTTGTTCTCTTATTCTGGAATTGCAATCTGAGAGATTTTGAATCAGTAGATATCGGGGTACAAGGGATTTGGCTTCAAACAAATGTACAGACAAGGGTTTGGTACCGATATTTCATTTAGAAATAGAATAGCTATATGATGTTTTTGATTGACTGAATATTATGATTGTTATGATATGAGCCAATATAATTCATCCGATGAAGACAGTGTTAAAGAAATTGTAAAAAGGTTTTGGAGATTTTTTATGTGTATCGGGGACATTGATAGCATCGATTTGCACCATTCCAATTTTCAGGCCATTCGCTATTAGTGACGTCATAAAACGCTTAGTTTTAGTGGAATTGCAGGAACAACAGAAGTCGAATTAAAAGTTGGAATGATGCAAATTGATGAGTAATTTAGACAATTTCTTTAACACTAATAATACATAGTTGTGTGAATTTACTTTTCAGGAGGAAATGCCTATCTATTATCACTATGGGGAGCAACAGAAGGCAGATCTTTTATGCAGGCATTGCATTCAATATTTGCCTTTGGAGCTGTTATATCTCCATTGTGTACAGCTCCATTCCTGGCACAAAGACGTGAAAATAATTCCACCGTCCATAATGCAACCAGCTTGTTTGAAAATCAAGGGATATTCTATGAAGTATCTAACATGTCTGTCCACCATTCATCCTTGAATGTTGACACTACTGAGGAACAACCTAGTGAATCCAGATTGATTTATGCTTTCGTTATAGCTGGCGTGTTTCAGATGTTGACGACAATACCATTACTGATTATGTACATAAAAAGAACATCACAAACACTCCAAAATTCCACTGAAAATGAAGAATCAAAGTCGATGAAGACTCTTCCATTGCTCACTTACATTTTTACAGTGCTATTTATAGATTGCTTGTTCATGTGTTACTGTGCTATGGAGGATACCTTCGCTTCATATCTATCCACATTCACTGTGCTGCATCTCAAATGGACTAAAGCTGAAGGCAGTCAAGTTACGTCAGTGTTTTGGGCATCTTTTTCTGCAGCTCGGTTTTTAGGGATTGTAGCCATTAGATATATCAAACCGGGGATCATGCTGTTTGGATGCGTCATTTCCATCACCTTGAACTTCGTCTCTTTCTTATTGTGTTCGTATTATCATATCCCGGACGGTGTTTGGGTTTTTGCCGTTTTTGTAGGTTTGTCCATGTCCGTGGTATTTCCAACTGGGTTTTCATGGATTCAAGAAAATATTCTGATTATAAATGGACGTGTTGCATCTTCCATTTTAGTTGCAGCGTCAATAGGTACAATGTTAAATCCTCTTTTGAATGGTTACCTGATGCAGCAGGTTAGTCCAATGTGGTATTGTTATATATTACTCACAGAAAGTGGTTGTTTAGTTCTCTTTTCATCACTATTTATACTTTATTCAAAGGTAATTTTACCAAAACGAAGAGTAAACACTACTGCCGCTTACATTATCGATGATTGAACCACAAGAATTTACTGGACAATTTCAAGTGTTATGCCCAGAAACAATATTGACCTATTTGAGTCAATGAGGGCTGAACCAACTCGCCCCCATTACTAAATAAGATAGAGAAATGACTATTAGTGACTCACTCAACCACATCTACCAGATAAAGACTATACTATAAGTGATTCACTGAACAACCTGTAGAGATAACATAGAGATATGACTATTAGTGACTCACTGAACCTCCTCTACCCATTGTCATATAAAGACTATGACCATACGTGACTCACTGAATCACGTGTAGAGATAAAATAGAGACATGACTATTAGTGACACATTGAACCACATTTACCCTCCTGCTAGATAAGATTGGGACATGACTGTAAGTGACTCTCTGAACAGCCTATATCCATTGCCATAACTTGTCATGACCCACTGAACCACCTTGACCCCATTGCTAGATAAAATAGAGACATAGAGTCATCTGTTGAGATAAGAATAGAGACATGACTATAAGTGAATCGCTGAACCATCTGTAGAGATAAGATAGAGACATGACTATAAGTGCCTCTCTGAATCATCTGTAGAGATAAGATAGAGACATGACTATAAGTGAATCGCTGAACCATGTGTAGAGATAAAATAGAGACATGACTTTAAGTGAATCGCTGAACCATCTGTAGAGATAAGATAGAGACATGACTATAAGTGACTCACCGAAACATATGTAGAGATAAGATAGAGGCATGACAATAAGTGAATCGCTGAACCATCTGTAGAGATAAAATAGAGACATGACTTTAAGTGAATCCCTGAACCAGCTGTAGAGATAAGATAGAGACATGACTATAAGTGAATCGCTGAAACATCTGTAGAGATAAGATAGAGACATGACAATAAGTGAATCGCTGAACCATCTGTAGAGATAAAATAGAGACATGACTTTAAGTGAATCGCTGAACCAGCTGTAGAGATAAGATAGAGAAATGACTATAAGTGAATCGCTGAAACATCTGTAGAGATAAGATAGAGGCATGACAATAAGTGAATCGCTGAACCATCTGTAGAGATAAAATAGAGACATGACTTTAAGTGAATCGCTGAACCATCTGTAGAGATAAGATAGAGACATGACTATAAGTGACTCACCGAAACATATGTAGAGATAAGATAGAGGCATGACAATAAGTGAATCGCTGAACCATCTGTAGAGATAAAATAGAGACATGACTTTAAGTGAATCCCTGAACCAGCTGTAGAGATAAGATAGAGACATGACTATAAGTGAATCGCTGAAACATCTGTAGAGAAAAGATAGAGGCATGACAGTAAGTGAATCGCTGAACCATCTGTAGAGATAAAATAGAGACATGACTTTAAGTGAATCGCTGAACCATCTGTAGAGATAAAATAGAGACATGACTTTAAGTGAATCGCTGAACCATCTGTAGAGATAAGATAGAGGCATTACTATAAGTGACTTGCTGTACCATCTGTAGAGATAAGATAGAGACATGACAATAAGTGAATCGCTGAACCATCTGTAGAGATAAGATAGAGGCATGACAATAAGTGAATCGCTGAACCATCTGTAGAGATAGGATAGAGCCATGACTATAAGTGACTTTATTTATAAAAATATAATGTGATATATATACATGTACATGAGTTGTAAATAGGAATGTTGTAATTTGTAAATATAAATGATAAAAATCATACATGTATCAAGCGATTATTTACAATTTACAATTATAATCAGAGACTTGATATTTACAAAGGGTAAAAAAAATGGATGGACAGTTTTTATCAATTATTTACAATCATATAATGTTGTCATGTTTTAAAATGTCATGCTATAAATATATTAATCTTATATTATAATATTTTTATGAGAAAATTTAATATATTAATATATTACTATGTATAATAAAAATCAATATAAACAAATACAAGGAATTTAGTTATTATTAGGATATAATATTTCTACTGAAGAATTCACATTAAGCATATTCCACATTTGAAATAACATGTAGGAAAATAACCAATTAAAGGGATACATGCACCATTTTGGTTGAGTCTTGAATATATGTAAATAGTCTTCACAAGTAGGCTACTAGAAATGTACGAAATCACATAATTCCTTCAAAATTATCTCATACTATAAATTTATTTTCCTATTTCTATGGATGTCTTTCTTATCTATATTTGGCAGTGTCTCAAGAAAAGAGACTTTCAATCACGGATAATTCTAAACATACATGGATTTGAAGGCTAAAATTTTGATGGTGAGCTGTGAACACTAATAATGATTGGCTAAGCTAAAACATTTCCTGTTTTTAAAGTATGATTGGTAAAAAAAACCCGGTGCATATGTCCCTTTAAATATATCAGTTTCCATTTTTTCCGACTGTTTTGAACACATATTTTCCTGAACACTGTGAAATGAATATACATTTTTCTGTACATTTGAACATTTATGGATACAAAACATTATGGTTCCTTAGAACACATTTGAACATTTATGGATACAAAACATTATGGTTCCTTAGAACACATTTGAACATGAATGGATACAAAACATTATGGTTCCTTGGAACACATTTGAACATTTATGGATACAAAACATTATGGTTCCTTAGAACACATTTGAACATGAATGGATACAAAACATTATGGTTCCTTTGAACACATTTGAACATTTATGGATACAAAACATTATGGTTCCTTAAAACAAATTGTATTCAAGTTGTTTGATCTTCAGACAACTGACCAACTTCTCTGCTTGGCAAACTTCAGAGGGGACATAAGTCAACTGTCTGCAGATCATGCAGCTTGAAACTCTAAGAAACAATGTGTTTCAGGTTATGTTTGAAATTTTCTATTTAGACAAATGTATTCCTGTAGAATAAGAAGTAAGAATTCATTTGGTATTACAAACATTTCAAAAAAATTTTACCAATCTGTAGAATAGAAACTTTACATAATTAACAAAAATATAATTAAAATAGTATCAAAAAATAGTTATATAAGTAACAAAAATATGGTAAACAAACAACTTAACAAATGTCAAAAGTGTCAGAAATGAAAGATGCTATGTAAGGATGATATTTCAGTCCCAACATCAAAACAAAATCAAAAACCAACAACATACAATATAAAGATCACAATCCATATTAAAGATAGCTTACAAGGCAAGGTAAGATTCGCCCACTATCAGTTTTAGCACGAACATTGGTGAACAGACATGGGTACATCAATCTATTTCATACATTTGTAATTATTAATATTTATTAAACTCCAACGTCATTATTTATACTAATACTTGTCATTTTCATCATTAATGATTAGTCTTTAAATTTTAAGTCATATCATTGATTATGTTCACATTAAATGTCATTATGTATGATGATAATGATGATTATGATATCATTTATGATAATGCTTGTATATCATTTTCGTTATAAAGGATTAGTCTTTAAATTTAAAGTCATCAATTAAATAATGATAATGATAATGACATTATTTATGATAATACTTGTCATATTCATTCTTAATGATTAGTCGTTAAATTTAAGTCATTGATTATGCTAACATGATATAAATGATAATGACATGATAATTATGATAATGCTTATATGTCATTATAATAAATGACATTTTTCATGAAATTTCTTCAATTTTAGAGTCATATTAAAATTTATTATGATTTTAAAATTCATTATGATTGATAAAAAATATTGATTATGTCCAAAATCATGTAAATAATAATGATAAAATAAGATTAAGCTAAAAAAAAGCCCATTAATAGAAAATCATGGGGGTTTTAATTTGCCCTGCTTGGCATTATTTATTAAAGGGATTGTGAAGAGGTTTTCTAATTTTCCATTTGGGCCTTAAGTGATAAAACGTTATGTGATTAGTGAAGTCAAATAGTTATTTAAAGCGGAATTGCAGGAACCACACATGTCTGGTTGAAAATTGGAATGATGAAAATTGATGCTATCAATGTCCCTGATACACATACAAAATTTAGAAAACCCCTCTACTATCCCTTTAATATAGAGACTAATAACACATGTGCACATGCGGGTCCAATATAAAACATTTACACAAGAAGTCTACTTCATTTTTGGTAGAATCAATAGCTGAAAAAAAAACTTTGTGTCATATAAAGTATACTCACAATAATGGAACGATTTAGTCAAATATATTTCAATCTGATAGCAATGAACACATATATCAGCCTTACTGCTAAAATTATGTTTTAAAGATGGTTTTCCTTATTTTTTAGTGTCAAATTAAGCAAAATATTTGAATTATCATGTATTCTTAATCATAGTTGTATGTACAGAACAGAGTAGTTGATTGGTTGAAGCTGTGAACATATCTTCCATGCAAATGTCTTTAGATCATAGCATGGGTGAAGTAAAGCAAAGAAGATATACAAATATTCAGAGCTGAATTTGAATATGATTATGATATGACCCAGAGCAGAGGATTTGGTTAGATCATGGATGGCATGTCAAGTTAACTGCAGACAAATTAAGAAAATTACCAGCTAGATTTGCATATTAATTGGATTTGAACATCTCTTTATAATTATGTATTTATGGCCCTCAACCTTTAAAGGGATTGTAAAGAGGTTTTCTGAACTTTTTATGTGTATTGGAAACACCGATAGCATCAATTTGTATCATTCCAATTTTCAGTCAGACCTCTGTAGTTCCTGAAATTCCACAAAAGGAAGTGTTTGATGATGTCATTGCAAAATATGCTCTATCACATAGGGCCCTTCCCAATTAACAATGTTATCAAATATTTAGTTCGAAAGGAATGGCAGGAACCACAGACGTTTGATCAAAAATGAGAATGATGAAAATTGATGCTATCAATGTTACCTGATACACATGAAAAATTTAGAAAACCTCTTAAGATCCCTTTAAATTCTGTTACAATTAGACAATAGTTGAGGTTAATTCAGACATAGCAGGATTATCAATCCCTTCTAACTGATCTGAAGGTACCTGATATAGCTCATCCTCACTTTCAAAGAGCTGAGGTGCAGATGCATACAACTGTTCAGAACTCATTACCCTAGATTCCATGGTACTATTTAATATATTGTCTGGAGAGAAAGATCTAGAATTGGGAATTTCAAATTGTTGGGATTCCTCGTAACTAGGTAGTTCACTGTATGGTGGAGGGAACGTATCATCTGCTGGTGTTTGAGTCTGTGCAAGTCCTATGATATCTAATGCTGAATACGGTGGTGGTGGTAAAGCAGTAGTATCTATAAGGAATACAATTTAGATATCATCAGTTGCAAATTTAACTTGAAACCAGATCTTTGGGACAATTTTATCTGCTAGCAAAGTCATATTCCCATAAGCTTTAAAAAGATACATTTCAAAAAGATCTACTCAGCTTATTGAACTCTGCACTGCCGAGTTGGCAAACAATCACAGAGAGCAATCAAGTGATCCGGAAGGGGGATCATCATCAATTTCATTAAAACTTATAAAATTGTGAATTGAAGGATAGAGAAACCAAAAGTAGAGTTATGTAACAGTCTCTTTGGGTTTCACTTTTCTGCAATTTATCTATGTTATCAAGAAACAGGTTGTACATGTCATGAATTTGATTGGTTAAAGATAACGTCATTGGGAAGGGACTTTAGTTGAAAACTTGTTAGATTACAATGGAAATAAAAAAAATATCAGGTTAAAAAAAAGATGAAACTGTAATCTAAGGTTGAGCCTCTAGGTACTTACTATTTGAAATTACTGGTGATAATACAAACACTGTATTATTAGAGCTATTATAAACCATACTTGATCTCCTGTCACGCTCGCGTCTTCTGTTAACTCTTTTACGTTTACAACATACACCACAAACAATACAGAAGACCAAGATAAAAATAAGTGCTGCAATACAACCTGCTATAATAGCTACAGAATTAGTATTGGACCCTGAAATATAGTAAGTTAGTGTTATAAGACCTGTCTAACACTGTGCATTACCATTATTACACCTAGAGGCGTTTTTATTTAAGCAAATCTTAGCTACACAGATCAAGGTGTGCAGTTTATATAAGCAAAGCGCTTACAACGATTTGCCTAATATACAAATTAATTTTAACAATTGCCAAAGCACTTATCAAAATCGACCAAATCGTGTATTGAAACAAGTCTAAGTGACTATACAGGAGAACTGACCTGATGGCATCGAATTAGTCTTTTTTTTCTCCTTCCTAAACTGTATTTTAAATCCAGTGTTGGTTTGCGTAGCATCAGAATAAAACTCTATAAAGACGACATTGCTGGTACTGGTATAATAGTCTCTAGTAAACCCTGTAAACCTTCCTAGTAAACTAGAATATCTGTCACTACCTATAAAATATTCATTTTAAAAAGGGTTACATGTAGTTACAGTTAACAGTAACACTTTTCAAAATGACAATAACCTTGTCTAAAATAAATAAATTGGAAAAAAACAACAGTGAAAGTGAGGAAAATAGAAAATTGATTATATGATAAAAAACATGACCGATAATATTTAATTTCATTTTTTTGCTGTGATTAACTGTGAAAATCTTTACTAGAAATGTACTTATAACAAAAACGATATGAAACACCATGACCTTGATGGGATTCTAAATTCTTATGTGTAGGCCTAGTGGAGACACTGATAATATCAATTTGCACCATTTCAAGTTATCTTTACAAAATGTTAGATAATAATCAAATTTTGATGAAGACTAATATCTATGGTCAAAATAAATAGATTGTAAAGAGGTTTTCTTAAATCAATTAGCTTCATTCCTATTTTCAATTGGGTGTCTGTGGTTCAAGCAATTCCACTAAAACCATGTATTTCATGACGTCACTAATACCGAAGGGCCTAATATGATTAAGCATAATTTGCGATGTCATCAAACACATAGCGTCAGTGGAAAAAATAATAGTACTCACCATCAAATATAGCTACATAATCACGATAATTAGAACTAGAGGAATAACCCAAATCAGAAAATACAACTTCTAAATACAAAACATAATCATCACTAGCTAATATCTTCCACTGACAATACTGATTACTGAAATATATAAAAAAAAACGTTGCCAATACTGATTACTGAAATATATAAATAACATTGCTAATTCTAATTACTGAAATATATAAATAATATTGCCAATTCTAATTACTGAAATATATAAATAACATTGCTAATTCTAATTACTGAAATATATAAATAACATTGCCAATTCTAATTACTGAAATATATAAATAACATTGCCAATTCTAATTACTGAAATATATAAATAATATTGCCAATTCTAATTACTGAAATATATAAATAATGTTGCCAATACTGATTACTGAAATATATAAATTACATTGCCAATTCTAATTACTGAAATATATAAATAATGTTGCCAATACTGATTACTGAAATATATAAATAACATTGCTAATTCTAATTACTGAAATATATAAATAATATTTCCAATTCTAATTACTGAAATATATAAATAATATTGCCAATTCTAATTACTGAAATATATAAATAACATTGCTAATTCTAATTACTGAAATATATAAATAATATTGCCAATTCTAATTACTGAAATATATAAATAATATTGCCAATTCTAATTACTGAAATATATAAATAACATTGCTAATTCTAATTACTGAAATATATAAATAACATTGCCAATTCTAATTACTGAAATATATAAATAACATTGCCAATTCTAATTACTGAAATATATAAATAATATTGCCAATTCTAATTACTGAAATATATAAATAATGTTGCCAATACTGATTACTGAAATATCAAAATAACATTGTCAAACACTGATTACTGAAATATATAAATAACATTGTCAATACTGATTACTGAAAAATATAAATAACATTGCCAATTCTAATTACTGAAATATATAAATAACATTGCCAATTCTAATTACTGAAATATATAAATAATGTTGCCAATACTGATTACTGAAATATTTAAATAACATTGCCAATACTGATTACTGAAATATATAAATAACATTGCCAATACTAATTACTGAAATATATAAATAATGTTGCCAATTCTGATTACTGAAATATATAAATAACATTGCCAATACTGATTACTGAAATATATAAATAACATTGTCAATACTGATTACTGAAATATATAAATAATATTGATATAATATCAATGGGCCTAGGAGCTGTCTTATTTTTACCTGACAACCAAATTTACCACAGAATTATGAGAGGTAGATGGAGAAAATTTAAATTCTTTACTATCTTAGTTGCCATACAAAAATATATAAGGACAACAAAACCTTAACTAGAAAATACAGTTAAAAATATCATATTGCTCATGTACAGTGTCGGCGCTAGTGGGGGTACAGGGGGTGATAGATTGCCTAGATAAATGGTTTGTACCCCAATTGCACCCCCACTACATTTCTTAGAAATCTTTTTCATCAAAATATGGGTCAAAAAGCACCAAATCAATTCTATTTTTCAAAAATTTCTTGTGGAGATTCCTTTCAGATGCTTAATTGGGAGCTCTTGCCACAACACTACCACATGTTGAATCTCATCCTCAACAATTGTCGCCCCATTAAGCTTTTCTGCCCGATTTATAACAGGGAGGCTCAGGAGGCTAGGGAGGCTGGTGCCGCCACTGCTCATTAGATAGTTTCTGCAATAATCCTGACAATAATCTATTGTATATAGATGGATAAAACAATAAAATATTTCTTTTGGTTAAAATTCATTGCCTCATACAAGGAAATTTGGATAAAGTGAACCAGGGTCCCAGGAACCAGGTGTGGTTTTCATAATGAGGATGTTGCACTGACTTACTTGCTATAATGTCCAGGATAATTAGGTGAAGTAAGAGTATCAAAGTCTTCTTCAGCAAATAAGAGTAATGGTCTTCCTGGTGAACAGTCAGCTGGTAAATAACAAAACAATTAAAGATATATCTTCATCTAAACATTTCTTTTTAATTTACAAGATAAGTCTATCTGTAGCTAATTTAAAAATGATATTCAAATTCCGGTTTGTCTAAAATTAAATTAATCTAACAATGTAAATTATTTCTTTGATAAACATGAAAATCCAGTTATATGTTTTTGCTTTTTTGAGGCTATATTGTCCAAACCTGTTAACAAGCAAAATGGAATATCAGACTGTAATAGGCTACTGCAAAAAGTTTTAATGGAATATGTATATGAAATGAAATACGGAAATCAATAATAAAACTTGAAACTTACGAATTTTTTCTAAATGATACACAACGGATATTGAATAAGACGGATCAAAATAGTCTTTATCAGCAAATATATTCATGAGAACTTCATCACCAGAACCATACAGAGTAGTATAACCTCGGACTGATTTGCATAAATCATAGTCTTCTTTATATTCAGCGTCCGTTATGACTGAAAAATATAATGTAATGTATTTTTTTCATAATATTCAGCGTCTGTTATCAATGAAAAGATTCATCGTCTGTTATCACTGAAAAACATCACATAAAATGTATTTTTTTCATAATATTCAGCTTCCACTATGACTGAAAAATAACACGCAAATGTACATTTTTCATAATGTTACGCATCTTTATCACTAAAAAAAATTAATGTAAATGTATCTTTTTTAATAATATCATGTAAAGCTTAGTTTTCATAATATTCAGTGTCTGCAATAACTGAATAATATCACAAAAATGTACATTTTTCACAATATTCTATGTCTATTTCATTTAGTAGTTACCTACCAATCTGGTCATATTTCATTACTTACCATTAGCAAAAGAGATGGAACCAATTCTGCAAAAGTTTTTGTCAACTCCACTTATATATAGAACTATTCTATATTGAGGATAGATTTCATCTGGTTTAATAAAACGACGCTTTATAGGTATTCCATAGGTTTCCCATGAGCTGAAAATTCGAAACAATTGTTTCATAAAATGGTAATATAGCTTGTCAGGCAAGGTAATATACACCCACTGACAGATTGATTTTAAATAAAAAAATTTGAAATATTCTAGGTGAATATTTTCTGATTTTCAATAAGTTTCATCCTTGGATGATAATAAACACTTACACCAAGTTTCATCGTTTTCGAAGTAAAAATTGAACTTGTTTTCAAGAACAAGGGCAATAACCCAAACTAAATATTTTTTCGATTTTCTTGATTTTCAATAGGGTTTATCCTTGGGTGATAATAAACACTTACAACAAATTTCGTCAAAATCTGTCAAGAATGTGCTTCCATGGATGGATGGATTGACGGAAATGGACATATCACTTATGAGAACTAAATAAAATGCCCTGTATATGCTCAATTGAAGAAAGTCATTATTAAAGTTATCATGAAATGTCTTTAAGCTTAATGGGATATCCAACCATCATCTCAATTTAGAAAATTTTTGACACCAATATTTCTTAATAAAAGCAGTAGGTTAAATAATACATCTTTAAAAACATATATATAATATTTTCTTTAAAAATCTGAAACAGACGTACCTGTCAAAAGTAAAAGTTTGCTCACGTAATGTAAGTGATATGTAGGCTTCATATGATGTTTCTAATAAATAAAAACAAAGATAGTTCAACATAAGGCATATGCTTTGATGTTAAATGCTGACGCTGCCACTGGGCTTTATGAGTGTTCTACACAGCAATATCAGAACAGATTTGAATAACAAGAAGAACTTTTGTTAGGGTAAGTCAGAGACAAAGAAAACTTTACAAATCTGACATTGAAATGATGCATTCTGAATTGGGATTGGTTATTCAAAATTTAAGCTTTAAGCTAAGACTGATAGTTTGGCATGTTTTGTCTATTTTTTCAGGGGGGTCACGTTTGCTCATGTAAGCAGCCAAAAGAAAAAAAAAATCAACTTACTGACTAAAGAATATATTACTTCAAACCCTGTATCAACATATCTGCTATCAGATAAAAACTCTAACAGGAAAACATCACTTACAAATTTCCTATCGTTAACATGAGGATAATGTGCACAAAAGTCGAAAACTTTAAACTCAATCCATCTATTTTTGCCTAAAAAATAAAATAACATTACTTTATGTGAGATGTGTAAGTTTTTTTGTGTTGTTATAATAACATTACTTTATTTGTAAGTTATAATGTCTTGTTATAGTAGTTATTACTTTATGTGTAGATCTGTAAGTTATAATGTGTTTTTATAGTAACATTACTTTATGTGCAGATGTGTAAAATATGACATGTTTTTATAGTAACATTACCTTACGTGTAGATCTGTAGGTTATTATGTGTTTTTATAGTAAAATTACTTTATGTGCAGATGTGTCAGTTTTAATGTGTAGTTTATATAAATCATATCATAATCTATAATTGGAATTACTACAATAGTAAAAATTGACAAATAAAAAATTGCAGAATTATTCTTACATAATGAAGTTAAAAATATGTATAAATTACTATTTCTGATGCCAATGCTTGTCAAGGTGTTGGCTTTCACCCTTTAATCCCTTTCATTATTGTTTTTGTCTATTAATTCTAAAAGCTTACCTTTGTATATATTCAATGTATCAGAACAACCTATCCAATATTGTGCTAATTTTGCATGTTTTATAGTCAATGTGATTTCATAACCACCAGGAGCAAGGATTAACCATTCACAGCGCAAATTCCTGGAAAAATAATATAGTAATAGGATAATGACTGGACATAAATGCCTAAAAAGAGAAGAAAGGCTTATTCCACAAACTGAGGCATGCCTATTTTTATTCCAGAAGAGAAAAAAGAAGACAAGCCATGCCAGGTCGCACATATCAAAATAACAACATGTTTCAGGTTCTGTTCTGTTTCTGAATTGAGATCACTGAAACTGTAGTGAGTCCATCATTACTATGTAAGTATACAAGTAGGATAGTATATGATAGTAATATAGTCATAGACCTTGTCTTGGAGTCGGCCATATTGAATCCAGAAGGAGGCAAATAATGCACATAAACAAAGGTAACGTTGTGTCACCACTGCAGTAAAATTGCCGTCTTTAAAGCCTCCTTCTCCAATCTCACTAGCTAAACCAAATCAAATTTTACATATTTAATTCGGAATTGAATAAAGCTATTTAATGATACCTTCACAAATCTTTTAGAAAGGGCAATTGTGATATCACATTCATAAATATGACATCACATCTTATCATTGGATGACGTTATTTGCATTATGTGTCTCAAAAATGAGGCGCGAATAAGGACTATTGCTAAACTTACAATGGATAATCTTGTGGATAATTAGGTGAAGTGATTGTGTAATTGAGACCAACTTGAGGTTTCAATGTCTGAATGCCATTACATTGGCCTGGAGCTAGAGTCGTTACTGGAAGTAAAAGACTATGAGATGAACAATATCAAAAATAAGTGTGTTATGCAAGGTTTTGTTATTATACAAATTATATTAATAATTATGATACAGGTAGGCAAGACACCTCTCTATTTTATGTAATGTAGTGGGAACTGCTAATACTCACAGTCACATGGCTGGGTTCCACTATGTTAGACAGAACAGAGAGGCACAGATAATTAAACACTTTTGACAGGTAATGATTGGATCATTAGTAAATTGTTGTGACCAACAGTCAATGACTGATTTTTGTTGATGCCCTCCGAGTGACAACAGTGAGTTTATTTAGTTCTACCAAGGTTTGAATTTGACTGACACTATCTTGTCCAACCTATACTTGATGTCCAACAGCCAAAGCAACAATCCTGCAATTATGATTTGTCCGTTTGGTTGAACAAACATTAACCAGGAAGTCCAGAGAAAGGGAAACCCAATGGGAGCAAGTTTTAAAAAGCATGGTACACATTTTGGAGGTCAATATAGATGATAAATACAAACAAATAAATAAATAAAAAAACACGACATCCTATTGGGTGAACTCCTCAACAAAGAGTATTGTTTCAAACGCTTAAAATTATATTCATTTTAATCTATTCATTTTATTGTTTATAATATTTCTATATCTCATTTTAATTTTTTCTCTAAATCGTTTTACAATTAATGTTTCAATGCATGAATATTTATATATTGCTCTACATTTAATATACTGAGCACTATTTTAACAGTGAATATTTATATATTGCTCTACATTTAATATACTGAGCACTATTTTAACAGTGAATATTTATATATTGCTCTACATTTAATATACTGAGCACTATTTTAACAGTGAATTTTTATATATTGCTCTACATTTAATATACTGTGGACTATTTTAACAGTGAATATTTATATATTGCTCTACATTTAATATACTGTGGACTATTTTAACAGTGAATATTTATATATTGCTCTACATTTAATATACTGTGGACTATTTTAACAGTGAATATTTATATATTGCTCTACATTTAATATACTGTGGACTATTTTAACAGTGAATATTTATATATTGCTCTATATTTAATATACTGTGGACTATTTTAACAGTGAATATTCATATATTGCTCTACATTTAAATTAAACATACTGAGCACTATTTTAACAGTGAATATCTATATATTGCTCTACATTTAAATTAAACATACTGAGCACTATTTTAACAGTGAATATTTATATATTGCTCTACATTTAATATACTGTGGACTATTTTAACAGTGAATATTTATATATTGCTCTATATTTAATATACCGAGCACTATTTTAACAGTGAATATTTATATATTGCTCTACATTTAAATTAAACATACTGAGCACTATTTTAACAGTGAATATTTATATATTGCTCTACATTTAATATACTGTGGACTATTTTAACAGTGAATATTTATATATTGCTCTACATTTAATATACTGAGCACTATTTTAACAGTGAATATTTATATATTGCTCTATATTTAATATACCGAGCACTATTTTAACAGTGAATATTTATATATTGCTCTACATTTAAATTAAACATACTGAGCACTATTTTAACAGTGAATATTTATATATTGCTCTACATTTAATATACTGAGCACTATTTAACAGTG